AGATTGATTGTTTGTTAACAAAAATAAAGGCTGATTGTTCAATGATAACGAAAATAAAGATCAATTATTTTTTTATTGGTAATGAACAAGTTCGGGTTGCCTTTTCTGTTCATTCTGCCATTGTTGATGCTGTCCTTTCCAAGCAGAAGATTAATTTTGAGCTCAACAGAAACCCTGCAAGCAGAACTCAGTTCCCTGTACAGAATGCTTTTGGTCTAACAGTCCACAAGACACAAGGATTAACCTTGCCAAGAATATCTGTCTGTCTTGATCAACAGATATTTGCTCCTGGACAGGCTTATGTTGCTCTCAGTCGTTGTGCCAAATGGGAAGATCTCAGAATTAACTCTCTTTCAAGAGAGGCATTTATGGTTGATCAATTGATGGTTAGAGAGTATGCCCGGCTGGAAGAAATTGCTGCCAAGTCATTGCCTATTAACAATTCATAATAATAAAATGACTATTTATTTATTTATATATATATATATATATATATACATATACATACATTCAACGAAAAAAAAAATTATTTTTTTTTCCTGATGTTGTACGTGTGTTATCATGTGGTGTATGTGGGACGTAGTAAATAAATAAATATAATTAATACTTTAAATATTTTAAATATTAATATTTTAATATGGTAATAAATAATTGGGCGACGCTAGTCGCCTGCAGATGCAATTGCTAGTTAAAAATAAAAAAATAAAGATTAATTTAATTGTTTTGTCGCAAGAAATAAATAAATAAGTCTGCCATCTTAACCTTTTGTTTTGTTTTTATGTTTATTAAAAACAACAATCCACAATAAATCCGTATACATCTTTATTATTTATCCAACAACAATTCGTGTTTTTTTTTTAAAATATTATCACAAAAAAAAATCTTACGTATTTATTTGTCAAAATGCCATGTTTAGTCAACTTGATTGTTTACATTACAGAAACAAGAAAAATTCCTACAATTAACAATTTTGTTATGAATGCTGCTGTTGGAGTTACCAAATCTTCAACTGGAGAAGAACATTGTTGCTTTCTATCCAAGAGACCCTGATGTAAAGACAAATCTACAGAGGATAAAACCAAACCAATTCGTTCGGGTGGGAGGGAAATTTATGTTTGATGACACAGATGTGGACAATTTAAATGTGAAGTTCTTGAAGGTGTGTATTGTTTTAGAAAATTGAAAGAAAAAATTTTTTTTATAATCAATGGAAAATTTCATTTTAATTTGTGCGTGTTTAACATATCACTCTTCCAGGTGATGGCGACGAATTTAACAATCATGGAACTTGAGAATGAAGAATTAAAACCATCAGACATTGTTGTAACAATGACTGCAATAGCAATGAACCAACACGGAAGGGATGAGTTCAACATCAAAATCAAAATAAATGGATCTCCAACAATTACTTAAGACTTCCGAATGTGTACAAAGAGGAAGCTCATTTATCTTGTCAGGTAACCTGGAAAAGGTCAACAAAATCCAGGTCATCTACCTTTCATTCATCAACCTCTTCAACAGCAGCAGTAGCAGAACCGTAACCACCTTAAACACTGTAGAAGCCACACAAGAGATTATGTCCTCGATTGAAAATCCCAAAAGAAAAAAAAAGGGAAAAGCTCCTGCTGCATCCATTAGAACAAAGGTAAAAATACAAAAATTAGCTAATTTGGCAGTTCAGAACATTGATGATGGTGAATGCAGCACACCAGTGGCAGACAATGACGAAGATAATGAATGATAACAAAAAACGTTTTTGTCTTTTTTTAAAAATTATTATTTTTTATTATATACATACACATTCAAAAAAAATTATTTCTGATGTTGTAAATAACTTAACATTAATATGGTATATAATAATAATTGAGCGACGTTAGTCGCCCACAGATGCAATTACTAGTTATATATATATATATAATGATGATAAATAATTTATAGTCAAAAAAAAATTTATAATATTAATATTATACATAATCGCGTATATTGCTGTAAGCTATTTTCACAACGTAAAACATGCTTATGCATCCTAATTCTACCAAATGACCTTTATATATGTAATATTTTTAAAAAAGTTCAAGAAGCCCGGTCCTAGAACATCACTCACTCACTACCTTTAAATCAACAAATTGCCAGTAAGTTTAGGAATATTTTTCATATTACCAATGTAAAAATTTTGTAGGCGGTGGCACATTCTTCTTCTCTACCTCAAAAGCAAATCAATTCCGTATATTTAACTTCCAGATCTAAATCCACACAATCCAATTAGCAAAATGAAATGGAAGCGGGCGAGAACGGAGTAATCGAAACTTGTTCTCGGACCGTATTAGTTTTAATTAATTTTTAAAAGTATACAAATGAATTTCAAATTCTTTTATACATAATAATATTAATATTAACCAATGAATGAGAAACGATTTATTAGCGAAAACTGACTGGTTCTATCCAGGAGAAACATACTGTCGAGAAAAACGATATTATCAATGAATAGTAGTAATATGGTAATTTTATCCAAGAAAATTAATTGTTTGAGTTAACATTCACGGAATAAAATAAAATATATAAAAATAGAATTTATTTTCAAGCAAACAAATAATTTTGCTACACAATTGCTAGGCAAGGCTGGAAATAGTAATAATATTCTAAATTTGACAATTTCCTGAGGAATTTACCAAGAAATCTATCATATATTGTTAATATTTACTAGAAAACCAAACTTTTTTCTATGGGAAGTAATTAATTAATTGGTATTTTGCGCGATTCCGCCAATTAAATTTCATACATGTTGATACAAAACAAAAGCTAATTTACTTAAGGGTAGAGTTCGGTTACACAGTATATCATATAGAAATGGGCAAAATGTGTCGATCATTGAAACAAAAATACGGCACAACCATACATTTTAATATAACAACAAATATAATTTATTCAGATATGTGACCATTTGTTATTACAATTTGCCATTAGAAAACAGATATAATAGATATATTACATTGACCTGTTGATAATTATTTATACCCTTTAGCAGAAACAGCCAAGCATTGTAGTTATCCAAGTTTAATAATATTTTTACTTTTTCCATGATCTATATTTTGCTATTTCAGAATAATTAATAAGTACTTTTATATACAATTGACAATCAATAATAAAGTAATAGTAATACTTCTCTTATTTTTACGTTTTACAAATCACATATAAATATTTGATATGTCCA